GGAGCCAGCCCACCTGCCACCCAGGAGGCGAGTGGCTTTGATCTGGTGGCGTCAGGTGTCGCGCAAGAGCCGCCAAGCCGGCACTGGAATTTGCAGTAGGGTTGGTGTTTGTCCCACGGGCGCCTGCGGCCCCCATGGCGCCAGGTGCTGCACAAACAGAGAACAGAGGCCCTGCCCCAAGGAGCTTCCTGTTTAAACTCCCAGCCAGCAGGGGAATTCGGCACAAGGGGGCCGAGTACACGGTACTGAGCCCAGGCTGGTTACATTAGAACTAGATCCGCCCGGAGCGGGACGCCACAGGCTCTAGGATCTGCCTGCTGCTTAGGAGGGAAGGTATCAGTGGCTAAACCTACACTAACCAAGGGCCCCATTTTGACATGTGGTCACACTGTGGCTGGCCGGGAAGGTTCCTGTTCCCGACAGCTGTCTGGGCCTGGAGGTTGCTGCCTGACTGTACAGCATGGTTCCTGTCCTGGTCAGTTTCACAGCTGCTACTCTGGAACAATGGGGGCGGATCATATTCTCCATCTCCTTGCAAGCCAGGCTGGGCCAGCTGCCCCCAGCTCTAGGCTCAGTGGCTCTATGAGACAGGCCTTTGAGCTCTGGTTTAAAAGGCCAGTGGCCTGTCCCAAGCTGGTGCAAAAGGGAGAGATTTTAGGGGGAAATCTCAGCTCCCGTGGAGTCACCAATGCAAGTTCCAGCCCTGCAGGAGAAGAAGGTGCTAAGCCATCAAAGGAAATCCCCAGGAAAACAGGCTGCTCAACTCTTCTGAACCTTGTGTGGAATGAGGAACTTGGCAGAGCTAAAAACAGGAATCGTTGAATCCCCAACCCCGAGAAGGTCAAAGTTCAGCTCCTTCCCACTCAGCCTGTGATCATGGGGGCTACGCCTTTTAGGGCTGTGCTTCCCAGAAGACTTGTGCTGCTCTTGTTATACACAGCCCCTTACAGCCACACAGCCGCAAGGCAATGACTGAACACCATGCCCCCCAGTCAACACCAGGAAACCCCTTGTTCATAACAATGATCATAAAGAGACCAGGAAGGATCAGACCGTTTCATTTTTAATTAACTCTTACGGGTATTCACTTTCATTTCCAACTTTTTCTCTATTTTATGGACTCCACTTTCAATTTAGTTTTTTATTTTTTCACTGGCCAGGTCATTTAAAAAAAAACCTCAAATTGTATTTTTTTATTTTCTCAGATGAAAAGGTCACTTTGGGGCCGTAAGGACTGTAAAAGAGAACAGCCAGAAATAGAATAAAATATGATTGTTGCATTTCCAATTTGTTTTTCAAATGACAGAGAGACAGAGCCAAAGTTGACAACAAAATGGGGCATTTGATATCTGCCAGATGGCACCCAGTGTGGGCCCGATCCCGCAGTCAGATCTAGTCAAACAGAAGGGTCTTCTTGGCAAATCCAGTTGTAGGAACAGGTCCCATGTGAATCTAACTTTGTGTCTTGCAAGTTTGTTTCCAGTGGCTTTTGGCTGCAAAAAGAAACAGAAGATAATGGACTATTATTGCTTACAATCAGACCCTTCGGCTGTGTCTACACTGGCACCCTTTTCCGGAAAAGGGATGCAGATGAGGCAAGTTGGAATTGCAAATGCAGCGGGGATTTAAATTTTCCCCGCTCCATTTGCATGAACATGGCTGCTGCTTTTTTCCGGCTAGGAGCTTTGCCGGAAAAAAGTGCCAGTCTAGACGGGGATCTTTCAGAAAATAAAGCCTTTTCCGAAAGGTCCCTTATTCCTGATTTTAAGACTGGCACTTTTTTCCGGCAAAGCCCCGAGCCGGAAAAAAGCGGCAGCCATGTTCATGCAAATGGAGCGGGGAAAATTTAAATCCCCGCTGCATTTGCAATTCCAACTTGCCTCATCTGCATCCCTTTTCCGGAAAAGGGTGCCAGTGTAGACACAGCCGAAGGGTCTGATTGTTGCCTTAAATCATGTACCAACCCCTGGAATCCCTCCCAAACCCTTCAGGAAAACAAATCCTAGCAGGAAAATGGTTTAAAGGGTACAGATTTAAGGAACCAAAAGTGAAGGCTGAAGTCAAAGGGAGATTTACCAATGTATCCTGCTCCGAGTACCAAGGAGTCTTCAGCTAGTTGCTATGCAAGGTGCTGTACAAACCTATAAGAAGTCTCTGTCCCAAAGAGCTTACAATGAGATCTGGATCTAATCCAAGTCTCTGTCCCAAAGAGTTTGCAGTAAGATCTGGATCTAATCCAAGTCTCTGTCCCAAAGAGCTTCCCGTAAAATCTGGATCTAATTCAAGATCTGTTAATTCTCCAGTCTCCTGCTTTTATTGGTTGTGTCCCTTCTAGGACACTTCATGCACCAATGGAGGCAAAGATTGATTGGTGCATAATCAGCATGTCAGACTGGTCAGTGCTTTTTGCATGTATTGGAAAATACACGGGCTGGCATGTGCCAGTTAGATTAATAGTTTAAAAGATTAGAACGATTAGACGGGGCAAAGTCCACTTAAACATCTGATCCTGGGTTTGTTACCTCCTGGTATGACTGCCAACTGCCAAAGATGGCAGAGATTAAAGGAGGAACGTGTTTTCTTGCCTGTTTTCCATTTGCTCTGGGCTTTTAACAGGGCGCTGCCTGCAGCCAGTTTCACTGCCTACAGCCAGTCTCGCTGTCTGTCCTGTCATCTGCGTGGGTCTTTCGCACAGACCCTGGACAGAGAGAAAACAAGTAAAACCACACACACACAAAACACCCTGTCCCTTGTGAAACTGACCTAATTTCTAGGTGGCGCTGGCCCTTTAAGAGCCAGGCTTTGGGGGCTGGCTCCTGGAGATTGACTTGTCTGTGTTATCTGCGGCTGGGGTTGGATTCTGCCCCTTGAGCGCTGTGTGCACCTGGCAGGAAGACACCGCGTCTGGATCCAGTGTGGGGCTAGAAATATGTATCGAATTTCTCCTGCCCCTTCTGAGCAGCACCGCGCGGACCAGGCACAAAGAGCGGGCGCCCCCTGGTGGGGGAATAGCGGCAGCGCGCTGGTTTATGCATCATTGAGGTTAGACATAAAAATAGCCCCCTTCACCTTCAGAGACTAATTTATCCTCACAGCGCGCTGGTAGGGGAGGTTTCCATTCTCCCCCCGCCCTGTTGTACAAATGGGGGAAACTGAGGCAAGCGTGAGCCAGGGTCAGGCACAGAGCTGGGAACAGAACCCAGGACCCTGAAAACTGCTGGGAAAACGAGGTTATTCTATATTAATAAAGGAGGGGAGTGGGGTCTAATGGTTACAGCAGGGAGGAGTGGGAGCCAGGGCTCCTGGGTTCTATTCCTAACTCTGCCACTGATTCTTTATGGCCTTGGGGAAATCGCTTAACTTCTCTGAGGTTCAGGTGAAGATGGGGGGAGGAGGAGTCCCTTGAGCTAGAGGCACAACACACCAACCTGGTCCTTAATGACAGCCTCCTCCAGCAAACCTAGGGGCGAGCCAATGGCTAAACCCCTTGGACGGGAAGCCAGCCAGATGGGGAGCCGGGTCCTAGGAGGAACATAGGACCAGATAGTCTGGATCCGGTCATTTCCCAGGGCTTCTGCACCCTCCCCACCTCCACCCACTGCATGGACACCCCACCACACACCCGATCTCCACTCTATGGGCACCGTGCACCCCACCCCCTTTCCGCCCCCATGAGCTCCATGCACCCCCTCACCACTCTCTGCCCCACGGGCTGCACCCCACACCCGATATCCACTCCATGGGCACCGTACACCCCACCCCCTTTCCGCCCCCATGA